ATGACCAGAGCCTGCAAAGATGTGGCAAGTGCTGGAAGGAGGAACAGCAGGAGCTGTGGAAGAGGAGAGAGTCTGGTCTGCTGGAGGGGAAAGGAGGAAGCAGCAGCGACACTTTGAATGGGTGTTTTGAAATATGCTCAGAGTTAATTTTATCCAGTAGCATTTGACATGAATTTAGATTTGAAATCAGTGTTTGCTCATTACTGAGCGACTGATGAATGCCAAATCAGGTCATTACTCTTGGAGTGGGTTTTTATCTTCTCCCATTATCTGGGGTTGCTCAGATCCTCTTCATTCACAGTTGTCTTTTCTGGATATAATTGGGTTTAAGCAACTAAGATACTAAATGAAGTGTTGATAACGAGAAGGATTGTTCATCTCTCCAAAGATGGTTGGCTTTTTTTTCCTTTCTCTCGCTCCTGGTGTGCTGAGGGCTGCTCAGCAGTAATTGTTCTAACCTCTGTGCATTCAGATGTGTTCCATCACTGTCAGGATGTATGTACTGACCCTACCCTCCCTGCTGGAGCACATGATCTGTAGGAATCTGCCTGCAGAGCTGAAGTTCCTCTGTCTCCATTCCTGAAGGCTGTTCTGACAGCTCAGCGAGTGCTCGGTGGGAGAATAACAAAACGACCTTAATACCTTTGGAAACTGAACTACCTTGTTTTAACTCAATAACACTGAGAGAAAATTGGTTTCCCTTCCTAAAAATGTCTCCTCTCCTCCTGGAGGAAGGGATGAGGTTTCCATTTATCAGAGCAGTGGAGATCAACAGGAAAATGTTACTGAGTTCCTGCGGCGCTTTTAATAGAATAAGGAGGCAGTGCCCTTCAGCTGTTCCTTATCCAAACAAAATGTTTGGTGAGCCTTGCTAATCTATCCTGGCAGGACCAGAGCCACCTAACAGCAGGAAATGTCACCATGGCCAACTGCTAAAATAATATTATAATTGTGTAATTTGTATTCCTGTGGGAGAATCTAGCCACACAATCCAGCAGCCCAGATCTCCCGTGTGCTGGGCTGATCCCACAGCCTGGGCAGCAGGAAATGGGGGATTCTGTCCCTCTGTCCCTGTGCTCAGGTAAGACCCCACCTGCAGAGCTGCCCCAGCCTTGGGGACAACAGCACGAGGACGTGGAGCTGCTGGAGAGAGTCCAGAGGAGGGCACAGAGATGTTCCAGGGCTGGAGCCAGGCTGGGAGAGCTGGGGGTGCTCACCTGGAGAGGAGAAGGCTCCAGGGAGAGCTCAGAGCCCTTCCAGTGCCTAAAGGGGCTGGAGAGGGACTGGGGACAAAGGGTGAAGAGACAGGACAATGGGGAATGACTTTATATATATATATGTATATGTATAAACCCGTTGTACTCCTGGATCCCCACTGAACGTGACAATGTCACTGTGTATTTTTTCTCTCCAGCACACAAAGCTGAACCTTTGAGTTTGCAGGCTTCAGTATTTTCCCACATCTAAATCAATTTTGGACATGCCAAGCCTCGTGCTCCCACATTGTATCTTTACACTAAATATCCTACTCCCACATCTTACCATTTTTAAAAATGGGAGCATGGCCCAACAGGTCCTGAAGGGCTTTTCCTCTCTTTACACTGAGCTTTTGATTTCTGGATGTGTTTGAAAGTGTCTGAGAGCTTTCAAGATAAAATGCAGTTGTCTCCTTTTCACTCCTCTCTGGTAGGCAGAGTCAATGCCTTTGTTTCCAGGCATAGCTAAAGTGCTGCCTTTCCATTTGAAAATCCCATTAATCTCATGCATCCAGTGATAACATAAAAAAGTAGTACAATATATGGTTGGTTTTCCACAGGCATCCCGTTATTCAGTGAACACACACGGCTCTGTGGGAACAGGGCTTTGGGGGGACTTCACAGGGAACTCAAGGGAAATTTCCCAGGCTCAGACCTGCTGGGATGTCCTTTTTTAACTCCTAAATCATCTCCACTTTCCTCCTCCTGCAGGCACTCCAGGCAGGAAGATGGGGCTGCTGATATGGCTTTGAGTCTTTATCCCCAGGTACAGAATCCCAGAATCCCAGACTGGTTTGGCTTAAAGCTCATCCCATTCCACCCCTGCCATGGGCAGGGACACTTTCCACTGTCCCAGGCTGCTCCAAGCTTTCTCCATCCTGGCCTTGGACACTTCCAGGGATCCAGGGGCAGCCACAGCTGCTCTGGGCACCCTGTGCCAGGGCCTCACCACTCTCACAGGGAACAATTCCTGCCCAATATCCCATTTGACCCACCATCATTCAGTTTAATGTCATTCCCTTTTGTCCTTTCACTCCATCCCCTTGTACTAACTTATTTCCCTCCACATTCTTCCCTGCACACAAATAGGAGCAGCTGGATGCCACCAGATTCTTCATATTTTCACCCATTAGAAATTCTGCTGAATGGTCATGAGGAGTATTTCTTTTTCAGCAAGAACAGCTTTGAATTGGGAACAAATTAAACCATTAAATTAACTACTAAATTTCTCCTCAAACATAGGAAGATTTCTTTGCACCATGTGGCCTCTTCACCTTTTTTTTTCCCCTCAGATAAACTGATGTTCTCTGTTCTGTGGGGATTTAACTCTCTTTGTCTTCAGCTCGAACACTCCCTTAACTATATTAATCACATATTTCCATCAGAAGAGATTTTTGAAAGTCTTTAAACATATTTTGCACAGGTTGGAAGACTCAGTGAGCTGCCAGCTCACTCTTGTTACTCTTCAGATTTGTAATTCCCCAAAGATAAAGCAGCATTAGGAACAGTCCCCAGTTTTCTCTGGAAAGTAATTTCTGATTTCCATATTAATCAAAAATAGCTTTACCTTCGTCCTGCCCTAATCCTAGGAACAACACAGGAAGAAGATTACATTCTGTAGATGTCAGAAAAGCAATTAAAATTTGCACAGAGGAATCGAAGGGGGAAGGAATCTCACCTCTTTATTCTGTGAGCTGAGCAGGGAAAGACCCTGACCTCAAACTGTTTGTTTCTTATTGGCTCCTTTTCTTTTGAAGTGCCTGCTAGAATCGTCTTTAATATTGCAAGATTAAAATACTGGGCTTTGAGTAGACTGAGAGGGTTATAGTGATGAGAAGAGACATTTAAGGAGGGTGAGGATTGGCTGTGAAGAGCCTGGAATTTGCAGTTGGAGAGGTGAGTGACTATTAATAGCTCTGTCTGCAGAGATGGATATTCCTTGATCCTCAGGGACTGGAGTGTGTGCAGGAAGAGCCCGCAGCTCCCAGGCTGGAATAAAGGGAGCCAGGAGAGAGGTGGCAGGTGAGGCAGTGCCTGCCTGGATGGCAAAGGTTCTGCTGTGCAAGTGTGCAACTGCAGGAATTTGGGAGGTCTGAGAAGCAAAATCTGTCATAGCTGACAGGAGGATTGTGGAGAGGAACGGGGAGAAATGTGGTGGGGATGGCTTTTGGGGTTTGGCTTGGTGACCTGTCACATGTCACCAGATTGGGTTCAGCCAGGGTATCCTGTGGGTGAATCAGGGGGTGGGAAGGGTGGTGGGATGTTTACCTTGGCTCTTTGGGATGATAAACCAGATACAGGTTTAGGTGTAGGGGAGAAGAGAAAGGCACAACAGGATGGGATGGGATGGGATGGGATGGGATGGGATGGGATGGGATGGAATGGAATGGAATGGAATGGAATGGAATGGAATGGAATGGAATGGAATGGAATGGAATGGAATGGAATGGAATGGAANATGGAATGGAATGGAATGGAATGGAATGGAATGGAATGGAATGGAATGGAATGGAATGGAATGGAATGGAATGGAATGGAATGGAAGTCTGTGGAAGCCCTGTGGAAAGGGCAAAGGAGCACATAAGTAGATGCTGCTGGGGTATGGACTGTGTGTGTGTGGGATGGATTTCCCAGGATCCTGCTGTTGCTCTTACCTTTGAGGAGAGGGGATTTTCCCAGAGCTGTTGTCCTAAATATCTTTTATTCTCCAGTTTTTCAGGTTCCTGCAGGGTGAACACTGAAGCTGCAGATATCAATTTATACTGACTGAACCTTTGAACTGAACCCAGTTTGCAGCTGGACTGATTGTTGTAGATCCCTTCCAACTGTACAATTCCATTCTAATCTCTTCTATTCCTTCCATTCCATTCTTTCCTTTTAGTGAGCACATCTAAGTGTTCTCTGGAATGTGTGACATCATAGCCACAATAATTCTCTTCCTGAAATACTTCTGGAAGTATTCTGGAAATTCCTTTACTCCACTTGGCTGATAACCCTGGACCAGTCCAAGGCACTGTGATCAAACCCTGGTTTTTGATCCCAAATCCCTGTATTTATTGCAGTAAATTTCTCCAGCAACTTGCTGTGTGACTGATGACAGTTCTCAACACTGAACTTTTTCCCCTGCTTTCCACATGCACTACAACTCACAAGAATATCATCATGGAATGTCTTTAGTCAGATGGGATATTGGGAATGAATTCCTCCCTGTGAGGGTGCTGAGGCCCTGGCACAGTGTGCCCAGAGCAGCTGTGGCTGCCCCTGGATCCCTGGAAGTGTCCAAGGCCAGGCTGGATGGGGCTTGGAACAACCTGGGATAGTGGAAGGTGTCCCTGCCCGTGGCTGGGGGTTGAAATTAGATATTTTTTAAGGTCCTGTCAACTCAATACCAACTTTGGAATTTTATACAAAATATTCTGTTATAGAACCTTGCTTCCTGTTTTATGGCATTAAAAGCATTTTAAGTTGTGACTTACAGCCTCTGAGAGCCCTTTATAAAGCTATTTTAGATTAAAACTCTTGAGCTATTTGTGTGTTAGTTTATTTTTGATAGGGAGAAAAACCCGCTGCAAAAAGAGATGATTGTCTTCATGCATTTTTAAAACTTATTCAGCCAGAGCTTTGACAGTGACAAACTGGCCTCAGGTCATTTCTTCTCCTTGATATCTGCAAGTCTGATACATTTTCCAAGCTGTGGCTGCCCAATCTCTGGAAGTGTTCAGGTTCAGGTTGGATGGGGCTTGGAGCAGCCTGGGATAGTGGAAAGTGTCCCTGCCCACTCCAGGGGGTTGGAATTGGATGAGCTTTAAGATCCCTTCCAACCCAAACCATCTGTGATTCTGTGATACTTTGAACTAATATACATTTCCTGAAATGTTTCCAACATAAATGTAGAGAATTCCAGATTTCTAATAGAGTTCCCATTAATTTGTTTTACTGGAAATTAAATGCTAAAACTGAGTCTTGCTATTCTTGTTATATTTCTCAATTTCTTTGCTGTTGGTCCTGTAATTTTTGAAAAGGATTGGGGCAGAAAGCCCAGTTCTTGATGGCAGTGCTGGGGCATGCTTGACTCCAGCTGGATTTTGGATCTCAGGTCTCATTTTACTTTATTTAAGGACAACAGCTTAGATTTGAGCCATGGGTGACCTGGGGAAGCAGGGGGTGAGTGCCACACGTTAGAATTCCACCTAGGAAATGAAGCTGGTCTTCAGTCTGGTTTCCCTCAATTTATCGTGGTGAGGAGATCCTGCAGGACAGTCACTGGGAAAAATTGATTGTAATGCATTGATTTTGTCCTGGAAATCAGAAATTCATTAGCATTGAACAGGAGCCCTGCCTGGTGGGTATTTGACCAAAAGGAATCAGTTTGTGCCAGCAAGGACACCCAAGATGTCCCCATGCACTGAGGTGATATCAAACTGCCTGAGACCCACTTGTGTTTGCCAGGTGACCTGGAACTGGCACCTGCCTGTGTTTAAAAGAAGCAGCAAAATCTTCAAGAGTGTTTCCTAAGGCTGCTCCATTTCCAATCAGTCTGTTCAAACCATATTCCTTGAGGAAATTGCTGATTTCTTTAGGCCATGAAAAAGCTTCCTCAGAGCCTCCTTTGCCATCACAGGTAGGGATATCTCCCACTATCCCAGGTTGCTCCAACCCCCAATGCCCAGCCTGGTCTTGGACACTTCCAGAGATGCAGGGGCAGCTTCTCCAGGCAATGTGTGAAATGTGTGAATCCATGAAGAGCTTAGAGCTGAGGATTTAGAATAATTTAAATGCATTCTTTACATAGAGCTTTTAAAATAACCCTATCCAATAAAATAGATGCTGTTTCAGCTTGCCCTGCTTGGAAGTAGACCAGGACTTTGTGGATGATGGGAGGTCTCCAATGTGCTGAGATGGAGTGGGAGGCACAAATCCAGGCAGAGGAGGATTTCAGGGGATCTAAAGGGAAAACAGCACCACTGCCTACAGAAGCACTGGTGAGGGACTCTGTGCTGTGCCAGGAAAAATACAAACTTGGTTTATTTTACCTATTTTAGTTATTTTTAAATGTAGACACAACCTCGGCCGATTCTTTATTTCTCAACTGTTCCTGTTAATATTTTTAGGCAGAAGACAAAACCTGCCAGGAGTTTTGGCTCTGTAGAAAAAACAGGGTGCCCAGAGAAGCTCTGGCTGCCTCTGGATCCCTGGAAGTGTCCAAGGCCAGGCTGGACAGGGCTTGGAGCAACCTGGGACAGTGGAAGGTGTCCCTGCCATGGCAGGGGGTGGGACTGGATGAGCTTTAATGTCCCCTTCCAACAACCATTCAATGATTCTCTCCATAATCCATACTTCAATGAATATATTGCTATTTTTCAAGGGCCTCAAACAATACTTTATGAAGTATATTTGATGCCATGAATTAATGGCAATTTTATACTGTTGGTTTTTTTGATAACAGTTTGTAAGTCCATCCCAGAGATTCCTCTGGATGCCTCTTCCCTCTCCTTATCTACCCTCCTCGCTTAAATCATCCCTCAGGTTCTGCTGGTAAAACTGAAGCCTGCTGATATTCTGAGTCCCAAACCATAATTAGTCATCTTCCCTTTTTTAAGCTGATTTTTCAACCCAGCAGCCCCTAGTACAGAAGGGGGCTGATGTGAACCCTCTGATTTTATTTTGCTCGACATCGTGCCTTTCACTCCTTGAACTTCTGAGCTTTTCTCTTTTTCCCTCTCCCTTTTCCATCCCAGTCCATTACTCTAATTTGCTATTCCTGGAGGGAACTGCTGATCCTTTTTGCTGTTTCCCAGCCACGCTGGATGTGTTATTTTTAAGGCAGCCTCACTACCTGCAGTACGATGACTCATTTTGGATTTGCCAGGTCCCCACGTTTCTGCCGAGAAGTCCTGGACTGAGTTCCTGAGACGATTGTTAGGAGCACAGCACAGAATCCCCAAAATCCCCAAATCCTTGGAGGATGTTAAAGTCACAACTATTCCCTAAACACAACTCAACACTGCCCTTCTAAAATGAAGAGCCCCAAGGAGCTTTAATTCCCCCTGTCCCTGGAAGTCTCCAAGGCCAGGTTGGATGGAGCTTTGAGCAACCTGTCCTTTTAAATCCCTCCAGGGATGGGGACTCCTCCACTTCCCTGGGCAGCCTGGTCAATCCTTTTCATGGAGAAATTTTCCATCCTCTTCCCTCTCTCTCCATCTGCCATCCATCCTGAGAGTCCCAGTTATCCATGTGAAATCATTGTCCCGCACAAATCTTGGGATTTTTTTTTTTTTTAACAAGCCTGCCTGCTTCCCTGTGTCAAAAACAACTAAAAGAGGGGCTGCCAAGAATTCAGAACTTTTTACCTGCTTGAGCAGCCAGGAGGATGTACCTCAGTGATAAAATGTAATTTATTTAATTAGTAATTGCTTTGCTGAGTTGGTAGAAATCCTAGTTTTAAATCAAGCAAATGAAAACTGTGCTAAAACATCCCAGGCTGTCACCCCTTAGCTGTGAGGTTTATTATGTTTGGAGTTTCTTCCAGGCTTTTTGTAAGGAATAAAATATTTACAGGGTGGAGGGAAGGGATTTCTATTTGCTTTTTTGTAGTTATTGTTTTTCTTCCCAAGCTTTCTGATGAGATGCTCTACCAGAACACCTGGTGCAAAGACATGACTCTAATTCAAATATTCCCAGAAATTAGATTGGTTTGTGGGGTATTTTTTAGGAGAGGGATTACAGGGCATGAACATGGTTTATAACACTTCTTTAGGGGTTGAAAAATTCACTTTATGAACCAGAAGTAGTAAATGCTGCACGGCCCCATGATTCCAGTGCTGCTCTTCCTCTCTGGATTTTGGGGAATATGGGCAGGAGCTGATGGGGTTCTCAAGGTGTAACAGCCAGGGTATCTCATGCCAGCTCTTGGCTAGAAAATCAATAACAAAACCTTGAGATAAGGGATCTTTGTGGGATCAGTGTATCCCTGCTGCCTTTCTGACAGAACCTTTGCACTTCCAAGCTGGTGAAATCAGATTTTATTTCCAACGGAGCTGGTTTTTAAACAGCACTGTGGAGTTTTGCCAGTTCAAATATTAGGGATTCTCAGCTTCCCCCAAGCACAATTTGAATCCAATCTCCTGGCCCAAATATATGTGAGAGACCCATTAAGCCTTTTAACACCCAAAACCTGCTTTTGTTAATATTCTCTGTGTGCTCCATCTGCTGCTGTGTTTGTCCATAGCCAATGGATTTGAGAGCAGTTCATTTCTCTGGTCTGAGGCCAAAATGTCCAAAATACCATATGGACATTTGAAAGTTAATGAGCATTTTAAAATTTCAATATCTAAGGCTGTTGTGATCCCTAAACCTGAGTCTTCCTTGAGTTTGGCCTCTTCTTGTAACCCTCAATATTTTATTGTTTTGAATTTTTATCCTTGCAAATGAAAATCACTATGCTCATGGTTTGAAACTGGCCCTTTGGGGCAGTAATTTGATTTGTAACTGTTTTTTGACTGTTCTGGAGTTGCCTATTACTGAAATGAGCTGGAATAGGAAATTTGGTGTCCCCAGAGATGTTGTTTAAGGGTGTGAATGAAAGATGAAATCAGGAGGATGCTGCCAGTGCCAGAGGACAAAGTGGAGTGTAGAAAGCAGAGATGGGAGCCAGGACAATGTTAGACTTAATTAGTCAATTAATTGATTGATTACTGATTAATTGATTAATTACCAGGCAGTTTCTGTTGTGTTAATAATTGACCATGTTCAGGGCAGTGGATTTGGCCACACACCTGCAATACCATTTTTAAAGGCAGTTCCAAACCTGGCAAATTGAGTTCAAGCATTTGGAATAAGAAAAACTAAAAGCAAGGAGCTTTCTTCCATCACTTCTTTCAATCCAAACCATTCCAGGATTCTATTTTGCACCCAGGTGTTGCAAACACCAACTTGGCAGAAAAAAGAAATTATGATAGACAGAAAATAGGGATAAATTCCCAGTTCCAGGATCTAAGAAGGCATCAGGAATGCAGACTGGAGCAGTTGCCTTTCCTTGAGGCAAGGAGGTTTTGCATGGACCACACTGTCTGTGACAGAGCAGGAATTACAGCTGGAGCAAAACACTGGGGCTTGAGCTGATGGCCTTTTTAGCTGCTGGCTTGGGAGCAGAGCTGGAAAGGATGGAGTGAGAATTAGCCAGATGAACAAGTGCATTTTGGACATCACAAAGGGCTGCTTTCTGAGCAGTTATTGTAAATATCCTGCTGTAACCTATAACCTGAGGGCATGGAGAGCGTGGAGTCCTGCCTGCATTTCCACTCCCAGCTCCTCCAGAAAGGGCCTTCACACCCCCCTAGAGCTGCCATAAAAACTCTGCCAGAGCAGACCAGCAGCATCTAGGTGAGGCTCTGCTCGCCCTCCACGAAGTCAGGGAAATGGCAAATTCCTGATTGAAAAGCAAATGAAGGCATTCCTGGCAGTGTCCAAGCCAGGCTGGATGGGGCTTGGAGCAGCCTGGGACAGTGGAAGGTGTCTCTGGCCATGGCAGGAGTGGGAATAGGATGGGCTTTAAGGTCTATCCCAACCTAAACCATCCTGGGATTCTAATACTAAATGGTGTGTTTCAAGCTGAGCACTCTTCTGCCGTCTTAATTTATTTTAAATCTTTCCAGCTGAATATTTCCCTGGGCAACTTTATTGGATAAGGTTGAGCCACAACTGAGTATTTAAAAACAGCTGCAAAGGAGCTTCTTTATCTCAGGCTTCCACTTTCAGTGGAGCAACACACCCTTTTATTTTATCAGTAGGGGCTGTTCATATCTTACTTCGGATTCTTCAAGTACAGAATGAAGTAAATCATTGCAAGGAGAATCAATATTGCATAACTTAAACCTTTCTCCCGAACTTCTTTTCCACAGAACCTTGTCTAAACACAGGAGAGGATATGACACATGTCTCTGGTCCAGAAGTGATATTGATTGACAGTCTGACAAGTTCTGTCACTCTGGTTTATTTATAGTGTGTGCACTAAGCAATCAACAATCTCTCTAATATTTTTGGACAGTTGCTCCTAGTTTTCAGGATGAGTTTTGCTCATCCAAATGCATCCCATAGCCAGACAGCTGCAGTAAGGCCTGGGAGGTTTCTTTTGGATGTAGGTGGGAAGTAACACTGAGGTGGAATTGAAATAAGAATCTCTTTTGTCAAACAGCTTGCAACTGTATTGAACCTTAAAAACAGGTCTGAAAGCAAGTTTGTTCTGAGCAAGAGAAAATCAAGGCAATGTGTGTCCAAAGCAGTGCTTCTGTCATTGTCTTAAAATCTTTTTGGGCTCATAAATTCTCCTGATTCCTGGCATGATGAAGGGAGCAGCTTCCAGCTGATGTATGGCATCGTGCAACCACGAAGTCCCATGGAAGAGCTCTGAGTTCTGTGCAAAATCATTGCTGGCCCAGCCAGGTTCCCAAGCAGCCAGGATTCTGCAG